TGATGCACTACATGGAGGGGGGCCTACTAATGTCCTATTGTCTTGTTAGGTGAATTTGTTGCGTATGATTCACTCAAAGGCAAAACTCAATTGTTCCTTTCAAATATGATTAAGTTTTTCCTTTTTGACGTTTGGAAAGCTCTCATAATTAAACTCGTACTAAAAACTTTATCCTTTTTGAGTATTCGTAACTTTGTAAGACTAAGAATGATTTTACATATATGCCCTTTGAGTTTCGCTCGTGAAGCTGCGTTAAAAAAATTTGTTTACTGCAAACAAGACCTTTCGTTCATTGTTTGAAGGAAATATACTGTTGATTGACGAAAATGTATCAAGAAATTGGAACGATGTGGATATTCATATCTGAGTTCAACTAGTATGTGGGTTCACTGTTTATTGTTTTTTTTTATAAGAATAGTAATTTCAAATAAAGCTTTTAATGTATATATTTCCTTTTAAAAATTTAAGAAAAATAAGGTTAGTTTTTTTTTTTTCAATTAATAAATTACAAAACAAAACAAATTTAATGACATAAATAAATTAGGTAGCGCAAAAAAAAAAAAAATCTAAATGCAAAAAACATTTATTACATCAAATTTACACTTGAAAATAGAACTTAAAATGTCTTCCTTTGAAGCGGGAGCTGGATGAATTGGTCGGGAAATTGGAATGGGAGCTGGATGAATTGGTCGGGAAATTGGAATGGAGGGAATATAATTCCATTGCTGGCCTCATTAATCTAAACGAAAAAATCTCTCCCCACTTCTCCGTCTGCTCTCGGGAATAGAGTATAATTCTATAATTTTTTTATTTTTTTTGAAATATAGCTAGAAAATTTATTGAGAATATAATAACTAAATTTTGATAATTAAAATTAGATGGATTAAAATACAATAAACTACAACATGAAGGACCAAAAAGTAATAATAATAAACTTCACAGCTCACTCATCCTAAATATAAACACTTTTCTGTTTTATTTTTTTTATTTTTTTAAAATCACAAATAATTTTTTATCTTCCGGTCGCAGTTGCGGTTGGCAGAATCGTCGTTGTACAAGTAACCGTAACTTCTCTGTAATCAATTTCTCGACAATATTATAAATTCAATCCCTCTTCTCTTCCTGATCCCAAGCTCCTCTCCACAGATTCAATCCTTCAGTTGTTGTTTCTCTATCTCAGCATCAGCCATGGCTACCATTTTGGTCACTGGTGGAGCTGGATACATCGGCTCCCACACCGTTCTTCAGCTTCTTCTCGGCGGCTACAAGGCCGTCGTCGTCGATAACTTGGATAATTCCTCCGAGATTGCTATTCGGAGAGTCAAAGATCTGGCTGGGGATTCGGGGAAGAACCTCACATTTCACAAGGTTTCTGGCTTGATTTTCTCCTATTTTTGCAATTCCTGTTAGATTATGCGTTTGATGTGGTGTGTTAAGCTCTGGATCGTGGTTGTTCATGGATTTTGATTCTTTTTCTTCCGATCCTGTATGTGAGTTTGCGATTTCTTCGAAATGCATGTTTACATATTTCGATTTTTCTAGAAGGTTCTTGATCTGAAATTACAATGCGATGGACGATTTTTTGATGTTGTTATGACTGTGAATTTGTTTCTCGCAGCTTGATTTGAGGGATAAACCGGCTCTTGAGAAGGTTTTCGCTTCGACAAAGTAAGGATCTATTTATCTCTTTCTCACCTTTCATACATTGTTTTTGAGGACTCGCATTTTCGCCATTGGGTACAGAAAGCATCTTTGTGCACATGTCTTTTGGCCTTTTTGGTGCTGCCCATTCGAAACTTTAAGGGAAGGAGGGAATCCATTCCCCTCTTTCATAAGTTTTTTTCTCCCTTTTTCAATTTAGTATTTGAAAATGGTCACTAAAATTTCCTCTTCATTAATTTCATAACATGAACATAGCTAAATTTGGCAAGACTTAAAAAGGAAGAAATAGATCAAGAAACATCATGCTAGATTATTGAAAAATAATGTGTTGACTTGGTCTTCAATTGTTTAGCTCTCTTAAATGTTGAATGTCTTAGGTCCCTCGTTCTCTCTCAATGTTTGTACATGAAGCTTGTTGCTTTCCAAACAAAGGCTTTGCTTTTTCTTTTTTCCTTTCTTTTTGCATTCCACAACTTTTTTGGAAATTCAAACTGTTTTTTCAGATTCGATGCTGTCATCCACTTTGCTGGACTTAAAGCAGTTGGCGAGAGTGTCCAAAAGCCACTGCTCTACTACGATAACAACATAATTGGAACAGTTGTCCTGTTTGAAGTTATGGCTTCTCATGGGTGCAAAAAGGTTCTCTGACATGTTATTAAATTCCATGTAAAAAAGTTCATTACTGACGAGAAATAATAAGAATTTTATACCTAACAAGTCTTTCAAAACTTGGTCTCTTGTCAGCTTGTGTTTTCATCATCAGCTACCGTCTATGGTTGGCCAAAGAAAGTCCCTTGCACTGAAGAGTTCCCTCTATCTGCAACAAACCCTTATGGACGAACTAAGGTGCAAACTACATTACATTGAATTGGCATGGAACCTTAAATGCTATTTAGAAAAGGAAACTACTCTTTTTTGATATAGAAACCCTACTTGGATAATTTGCAGTTGTTTTTTGGTTGAGTGATCCTTGAACAAACAAGAGACATGTACTCATCGATGGATACGTCTTATTGAGATGACTGAATTTGCTCTTCTCCTTTCAGCTATTCATCGAAGAAATATGCCGTGATATTTATCGATCAGATTCAGAATGGAAAATCGTATTGCTTAGATACTTCAATCCAGTAGGTGCTCATCCCAGTGGAGACATTGGTGAAGACCCCCGTGGAATTCCCAACAATTTGATGCCCTTTGTGCAACAAGTTGCTGTTGGCAGGCGGCCAGCCTTGACAGTTTTTGGAACTGACTACTCTACCAAGGATGGAACAGGGGTATGTGTAGTACCCTGTTAAAAGAAATTAATCTTCTAAATTGTTATTTGAGCTTGGTAGTTCTTGTCTGCCCTTGTGTAGGTTCGTGATTACATTCATGTCGTTGATTTAGCTGATGGGCATATTGCTGCATTGCGCAAAGTGGATGATCCCAGCATAGGTATATTCCAATGCTTTTGCTCGGTCATTTCACAATCCCATATTATGCTTCCATGATATTACTTAATGATAATACCTTAAAGTCAAGTGCTTCTTTCTTACGTCCTCCATACTATATCTATTTTGAGCTTCAATTCAATGCTTCCATGATATTTTTAGACACCATCCAAACAGTTTCATATTTGTGAAGATACTGTGCTTTTTTTTTATATATCCAAGATTCTTTCCCTACCCTTAACATGGATTGATTTTCCCGTATTATACAATACCTGCACCATTGTTGAGCTTGTATACCATGGAAACTTTGCTGCCTATGGTGATATTTGTCACTGGGAGAAGGATAACAGTGTCTGATATTTATCCACAGGCTGCGAGGTTTATAATTTGGGAACTGGAAAGGGTACTTCAGTTTTGGAGATGGTTTCAGCATTTGAGAAGGCATCTGGAAAGGTAAGAGGCTACTCCATTTCGCCACCGATATGATAACAATGCATCATCGTTAACTCAAACATTTGTATTCAATCGTAAATTAGCATAACACGGTATCAAAACGGTATCAAAACAATGAGCAATGACGTTTCCTATTTGGACATATTATGAGTCACATAAACATCTAGCTTATGCGTTAAGTTGAGTTGAGTTGAGTTGAGTTGCAACACATACAATGACATCGAATTCCACTTGCAGAAAATTTCCCTTGTGATGGCGGAGAGACGACCGGGAGATGCCGAAGTCGTATATGCCGAAACAGAGAAGGCAGAGAAGGAGCTGAAGTGGAAGTAAGATTGTTGACAAAAGCTATTGAGATGTTTGTATGAATCAATCATCAGCTTATTTGTTTACTTGGTGTTGTGCAGGGCAAAGTATGGAATTGAAGAAATGTGCAGAGATCAGTGGAACTGGGCAAGCAAAAATCCTTATGGCTATGAAGCTTCAGCCCCCAAGAACTGAGAAACCAAATTTCCACTTAAGATTATTCTAAATGCCTTTTTCTTTTTGGCCATTTTGATGCCCTCTCTGAGTTTGAATAAGCGGAACCCGATCGATCCCTCCATTGCAGTGTTTTAAACACTTTGATACTTTTTGGTCCTCTTTTGAGTCGGAAATGTTCATCTTCCACGAGATTATTAGTATTTGTTTGTTTCTCTTTTATCCTTTTTTTTTTCTTTGGAATTTTCTAAAATGGTTTTTGTTTTCCATATTCCACCAGGAAAAAACAATGTAATTTACAATAGGCCACAATTAAAAAAAAAAAATTTCTCCAAACTTTCAATTTTATCAAATTGGACCTTACCTTAGTTAAATCTCGTAATTTTGGACCCTTTAAATACCACTAAAATCTAACTAAAAACAATGAAAAACTCTAATGCCATTTTTATTTATAATCTTATCAATTTTATAGATGGTAAGATCTACAAGAGTTGTTTGATCGTCTTTCTCCAGAACCATGATTGGGAGTTGTTTGATCGTCTTTCTCCAGAACCATGATTGAGAGTTGTTTGATCGTCTTTCTCCAGAACCATGATTGAGAGTTGTTTGATCGTCTTTCTCCGAGGAAGAGGCAAAACATAATCAACTTGAATTCGGGATAGCTATTCGAAATCTTAGTGAAACACTGGATTTGTTATCTCGGGTTTGCTTCTCGTAAAAAAAATACCAATTGAAGTGGAGGGCTTCTTCAAACAATAAGGAGCTCAGTCAACTATTCAATCAAATGATATTGAGCATGTGGAGGGCTTCTTCAAACAATAAGGAGCTCAGTCAACTATTCAATCAAATGATATTGAGCATGTTTTCCATCTTTTCTCGAGAAACAAGTGGGCTATTTCTTTGCAAAATTGTGCTATATGAAAGCATATGAAAACGTTAACAAATTTTCGAGCAAAAGGTAAAAATTGATACAGCGGAGTATTCAATAATGAATTGATGCAAACAAGCAGAGGAAAAAAAAGTGGTGTTCTGTACAACTATGTGCTACAGAATTTGTTTATCCTTCTTAATTACTTTACATTAATATTTCCATTATTTGAATCAGACGTTCCATTTCCACATCCCATCTTGCAATCACTCTGCAACGCCAATAACCAAGAGTCCACCTGATAAACACACAATATGGAAAGGGTTTGAATTCTCACACCAATAACCACTTCTTCAACCCCATAATTTATTATGTACAATACCTGAATCTTGGAAATGCCCGAGCATTCGTATCGCAGACCGTGACGTGTTGAGATGTAGAATGCATATCTTACATCTTCATCTTCGCGGGAAATGCTCGGCAGAGAACCCACTTCAACAATGTCAGCTAGAAGGGTGGAATCCTGAGGGCTAATATCTGTCCATAAGTTGTTCGATTTCATTAGCGAACGGATTAAAGGCCTAGTTATATCGAAATAAGTCGACTTTCCAACAACAAGATTTCCATTCCTCATGATACTAAGAACAATAGCATTAGAAAGCTCACTCCTGTTCTCGTTCACATTTATATCATTGAAACATGGCATAACGTAACATGCCGTAGATATAAGTTTCTACTGTTCTAAGAGATGTTGTCTGTTTTGGCCCGTTATGTATCACCGTCAGCTTCAAAGTTTTTAAAACATGTCTGTTAGGGAGAGAATTTCACACCCTTATAAATAATGCTTCGTTCCCCTCTCCGACCGATGTGGGATCTCACACAAATCTATATATATTGGTATTAACCAGAGGTGTTCAAGAATGATACTGGCTTAAGTGGATGTAAAATAAAGGATTATCAGCAGGAGGTTGGAGTACCTGTAGATGATAAGTAGAAATATATACATTCTCCATGTAGGACAGCGAAGCGGGGAAGCCAATCATCGACATCGGTATCGTCAATAGGCGGAGGTTCTCCTGGTAGAGCTTCCCACCTCTAAAAGACACAAAAAAAGAAAAAAAGGCATTCAATTGTACAACAGAAGCTATAGTAAACATATGAAGTGTTGAAAGAAGATAGGGGAAAAGTGAATACGGATCGAATGTACAAATAGCCCGACAGTCGAGCAGACCGCAGAATTTCATCTATGTGTTCCAACCTGTTCAGAAGAAAATTCTTGAAGACATTTTCAAATGCAGGTGAAGACATTTTCAAAAACCAAAAATCAAAATCCAAATGGTTTATCAAATGGAGCCTAAAAGAACTTGATGGAGTTATCAACAAGCATAAAGGGTTTCCTTACTGAGCTCTTAGGTGAGCTTCCCGCTCTTCAAGATTGGCGATCTCCGACCGCAATGTTGCTACTTCCACAGCAGTCAACACAACCTGCAATTTGAAGATTCATTTCAGCCATGGATGAGAAAACTAACCAAATAACATTGCAAACATGTATGACGAATTACCTTTTCTTGACCATCACTGCCCGAACCCCACGACAGGCGCCGAAAACTCAGCAAGTTCAACATGAATGCAGCACTTCTTAGTTTTCGCCGATTCCAAGAATGGTCATGTGACCTATCCTACACCAAATCAAGAACAATAATCCAATGAGTTAGTTGTCTCTTCTCTCAAATTTTCTTAGTTTCACTCCAATCTAGAAGTCAGAAATAACTACCTCGATGAATCGTGTACTCTCAGGTGTTCTGTGGATGAAGATGGGGTCCTATTTTCAGAACAGTCTGAATCCGAAGTTGAAACTTGAAAGTGATCTGGAATAATCTTTATCCTTGTGGGGGTATCATCCATTAAGATGAGTGTAACTTGCAGCAGGAATTGCACAACTAAGGAGACAACGGTTGCTAAAAAGAAAGAGAAAAAACTTTACTCCTAATTGACAATCGATTAGTTTAAGTTTCATCCAAAAGTTTTATGAACAAAGACTTAAAAACAATACACCAAGGAAATCCTGAGCAGAAAACTAAAGATGAAATCATTATCAATTTAGCCCTAAATAATATTCCTGCAAAACCTAGAAAGTGATTTAAGCTTACTAATTGTTCTATTTCCTTATTTTTAAATCTGTTCTATCGAAATCTAGAGAAGTACACAGATTCCATGGCAAGAAGAAACTCCATCCGCTCAGATAATGGCTAGTCTAAATCAACCAGTTCTTAACTCAAAAGTGGTGATAACAAAAGAAATTTAGATTTCGCTAAAATCTCAAAGAAAAACCCAGAAATCACCATGGTTTTTCTGATAAAAGTAAAGGGAGATTCTCAGTACAAAGCCAAAAAAGCAACAATTTCCATGGCGGAATCCGGATGTTCATCAATTAATCAAACAACAAAAAGATTCCCGAAGAATTTTGGGGCAACTTCTAGAATTAAACACACAAAAAAGGGGGGAAAGAAGAAAAGTTTCGCACCTGTTCGGGAGAGAGGAGCTGGAGTTCACGAAATGTGGTTTCGTTTGACCACTCAGAGCAACAAGATTCTTGCGTCCGGTACAGTAGTTGTGCTTTTTCATCATGACAATGGCTAACGAAAAGACCATATTACCCTCCAATTAGTCTTTTTTTATTTTAATTAAAAATTAGCACTTAACCAAAATTTAACCTAATTTTTATGAATATAATTTAATTGGTTAAATCTAGAGTTTAGCAAATATCTACCAAACATTTAACCTTTGAAACGAGATTAAATTTCGTCCGAACATTTGCCCCGCTAATCGACTATTGCTTATAGAATGCTAATAGAATACTGACACATGATGATCTGTATTATTATTTTAAACGACAAATTTAGATGATGTCACACGTCTTGTGACTATTTGACCGAGAATTTTTTGAATTTATGTAATGAAATTTGGTAATTAATAATTATTTTTAATTTTTTTTGTAATATAATATTATCCGTTTCGTGTAAAATCCAAAGCAAAAAGTATGATCAGACATTCCATTCGGACAATAATACTCATAATTATTTATACGGTAAAAAAAATAAAGCACAACTCGTATGAAACAAACATGACCTTAAGAAACTACAAGCCACGACGAACACCCTCAATAAGCTAGAACTCGAAGACCTTCGACAAGCTCAAATGAAGACTTTCTACAAATTCAAAATTGAAGTTTCAAGCTCGAGAACATTTGTTCCATACAATCGAGAAGTATAGAGCTTCCTCTTATTAAAGATTTAAACCAATTTACATATAGAAATCTCAGAACCATAGTATTATTCAAAACTGGAAACTATTAACTTTTGAAATAGGAGAAAGGAATTGACCAGAACCATAGTTTTATCCACTCTCAAGGCTCATCAGACGCAGCCACCCAGCTGCAAATAAGTTGCAGAATTGTGAGTAAGAATATCCCAGCAAAAGCAAACACAGGGAATAATGGATTCTGATTCATAGAACCAAAGCCATTCTAGTAATCAAGATTTCAAATGATTTCATGGATATGGAGTATATAGGCGTGCCGCTAAACGTACATCATCATGCTAGAAGTTAACATCGCTACATCCAAGTGAAATGCATAATCGTAACACCCCGTGTTCCCACATTATGAAATTACCTACTTGTTGCTTTTAAGAGTGAAGATTATTCTCACAGACCACTACGAGTCATTTTAGCACGTCTAGTCCTCACTTACATGCTTCGTATAATTTTTTTTAAGAGACTATCCAATATAGGATTGCTCCAAACTAAGCATGTTTGACTGTAAAGTTTTTATAATTGAGCCACTGAAAAAGAAGGTGCACCTTGTGTTAGGAACTATGACTCTTCACAATGGTATGATATTGTCCACTTTGAGCATAAGCTCTCGTGGCTTTACTTTTGGTTTCCCCAAAAGGCCTCGTACCAATGGAGATGTATTCCTTATAAACCTATGACCCTTAATTAGCCGATGTGGGACTCTCTCCCAATACCTTGTAGGCATAGATAGTCACGTCAATTCTTTTAAAGTCTTTCTCAAGCATCATATCCTCAAGATCATTCAAATTCAAATTCAAATGTGGTCTCAGCTCATTCATGTATCTCTCTTTTATTCGGGCTTTACAATAATACTCAACGAAAATGCATCAACTCCTTGTTCCATGAACGAACAAACTCTAACAAGCTAATCACAAACGAATGATTTGTGGACTCGATTTGCTAGTCATTACTTAGACAACGATACACATACTAAAGTACAAACGTGACCAGATCATATTTTTTAAGGTTTAAGGTATGCATCTCATGGTGATTTTCTTACAACAAGTCCAAACTGAAAGCTTGAAGCACATTGCATTATAAGAAACAATAGATCAATCAGCAATGATAAAAGCAAGCAAGCAAGCAGCCACCAAATAGGAATAGAATCTATTACCAAAATAGCTTCAATCTCTTCATTGGACAATGGTGTCCTTTTAGGCTGAAGGGAGGCCTTTCCATCAACAGTTTTGGAGGCAGTTTCACTCAAGGATGAGATGAAATTTTGACTATCCACTCCACTGCTTGATGGAGTTTGCGAAGAAGAACCTGTAAAACTTTCTTCAGAAAACACATCACGAAGACAGAATTCGACAATCGATACATACGACGTGTACAACTCAACGTTAATAATCATCCAACAATGTCAGGTTGGTGTCCATTAAATCAAATTATCAACAGAACAATTTTAACACATCGCCAATCCCTTCTTCTGTTCATTCTTTTCAAAGAGAAGGTAATGAAATAGGCACATAAATTTATAGAAGGATTCATAATCTCACACATTTCAGCATTCCAAGAGGCATAGAAATCAACTTCCCTCTCATACAAACCTCATCAAATAAGAAAACAAATTATGTGTCAAATTGAAACTCTCACAAAATTCTTCCTCCCCACTTTTTGATTCAAGTTTCATTCTAAACTCTGTAAGGCTTGGGTTACTAATCTGTGTTATTAGATTTCAAAATCTAGGTTAACAAAATGCTAATCAAATGTAGAAATATCAAAGACAAGCCAGCAGTCATAAGATTAAACGATTAAATTGAAAAGAGAACAAAAATCTTTAGTCTCTACAGCAGTTCATAAAAGCAAACAAGCAATCAAACGATGGCACAAACCACAGGAAAACAGAATCAAAGCTGTAAATTACAGGTCAAGTCAAAAATCAACGAAAGGAAAAACAGAGACGATCGAATACAAACACGAACGACAATTTTCATATGTGTATAGATCATTTTCCTTGTTTGAGGAAGATCATCGATCAAAATAAACAAAAGTAACGAGAAAAAAGGGAAGACGGAAGCGAACCAGAGGGGTTGGGATGTCGTTTAGGGAATTTAATGCGAGGGATTCTCTTGATGCCCTTGACTCCAGCCATATTGCTCGGTGATGGTAGCTTTCTTGGCGATGTTCTGTAGGATCGCTCTGCGCAGGTGGCGGAGGAAGATCTTCGACGGCGATTTGAAGCAAATGGCGACGGTGGGAGCTAGTGCGGTGGTGCAAAATGGTCGAAATGTGGGAAAATGTCCAAATTAATAAAAATAATTGCATGGCTAAATTAATAAAAATAATATTAATTTTACATTTTATCCATTTTTTTAATAATTATTTAAAAAATAAATTACGTCGTCGAGGTTACACTTCCTCCGTTCGTTTCTTCCTCGGAATTCTGTGCGATTGTGTTTCTCTCTTTGCGTCTCATTCCATGGCGTTTTCTGTGCATTCCAGAGCAAGAAGTACTACACTAAGGTGCTGAGGCTGTCGGAATCATTCAGTGGTATCAAGGATGTTAATCTGCACCTGGCAGCAACCACTTCAAAGGAACTTGTTGAAGATCCTCTGAAATCAGTAGAGCAATCCAGGCGCTGGAAGATTAAGAGTTGCTATGGTGATATTGGCTTTCAGTACAGAGACGATGAGACGATTGCTTACGTCGCCTCCCGTTCTTAACGAGGTAGCATAGGTTTCTGCTTACTTGCTAACTCACTATATTAGCTATCTTTCATCGTCAGAAATTCGAGAAATGAACTGGAACTGAATAGCATATGAGAATGCATTTAAATATGGTGAAATATTTAGTGGAAAGAATTAGGCTTCAGATGATAGTTATCATAAAGGATTTAACGATTTAAGACTGAATCATGTTCTTACTGAAACTTGTATGATTATATTTGGGAGCTTGCTGTTTATTTGAAGTCATTCTCATATTCAGGTCGGTTTCTATGATTGGGAATGATTTTGTCATAACTTCTTTTTCCTTTTTTACACGCTATGCAGTTAGGTTCGTAGAAGGCTACCCGATTTCTCTCCATCTAATGTATTGGATTTTGGTGCTGGCACTGGTTCAGCTTTCTGGTAAAAAGTGCTATGCTTGATTTCACAGGCTACTTTATTCATTTATTTGATGTAGAATGCATGGACTGTCATAAGCCTATAATAGCTGATTACATTGTTGCAATGGCCTAGATCCACTGCTAGCAGATATTGTCTTCTTTGGACTTTTCCTTTTCCCTTTCGGGCTTCCCTTCAAGGCTTTAAAAAGCGTCTTCTATTTCTCTGTCTGCACTTGCGTCTATCTTTCTAATCAGTGTCATGATGGAAAATGTCCATTAGAGAATTCTGGGAAGTATTGTCACTTTGTTCAGTGGTTGGAGAGGACATCTACGCAATGAGCTTACAAGGTTCCTCTTCTTAGCATTCAATCCCCTGTTTCTTAAGCATTCATGTTGTCAGCTGTATGTTATCTTATGCTTAACATGGATATTTGATCATTTTTTAACAAGAGAAGTTGCAATGTTCATGTGTTCAATTTCTCTATTTGCTTTTCGTGACCGACAATTTGCCTTCTCGCTTTTGGATCTTGCACCCATCTCTTATTTTTCTAGTGGCTCGAAATACCTGAGATATACCACTCAGTGTTTAAGTCTGTGTGATAGTGAATGCCTAATGATCATCTAAAGGGGTAGTATCTGAACACATAAAATGAGTATATCAAATTTACTTTGTTATGTCTTGTATGCTTAATTATGATTAATATTCAAGAAGTTTCTTAGACGACGTAGATTCATTCAGTTCTATATGTCGAGTTCTTTAAAAAAGAAAGTAAAAGAGATTTTGTGGGGAAAGCGATTTTCCATCTTTTATTGTAGATCTTGAATGCTCTTATGAAGAATCTGGTTGCACCCTCAGTGTTTAATAAAATATATGGATCTGAGACACCTTCGCATATTATCCTTACTTTGCCCATGGCAGAGGATCTAATAAAGTTGAACACACAAGATATTGTTCCATACCAAGAAGTGGATCCAGATACATATGATTCTGATGTCATGGAAACTGAAACTCTTGATGAAGATGGAGAAGAGGGAGGAGAGGAACAAGGAGATTAGGCGCTTGCTGATCTTGGTGGTGGTTGGGGCAGGAGTGTATTTTCACCAATTCGAAGGGCAGGCATGTATCGATGGATATTTGTCGATCGACAAAACTGGATGCCGGAGGGATCGTTTGAGCGAGTCATTGTAACACAGAGTAAGAATCCTACTTCACATCATCAGGCTCGAAGGTTAGTCTGGGGTGATTTATGGCCCTTTTGAATTCTGTCTTCATGTCTGGCATTGCATCCATGCATGAATTATTTAACTCCTTGAAAATGTGTACAGAAGAAGTCTATTAGAGTTAAACATCCGCACATTGATTTGGAGCGTCAAATCAAGTCATTGATGGCTCATTTGATCGAGAGCACGTGTCTTAACCAGTCGAGTTATGAGTCATGCTTGGGTTGACACTGATGACTCGTTGCCGGTAACGATATTTATAATTCATTTATATTTGATACTCAATTTAGAGTAGACCATTGGAAATCTACCACAGTGCAACTGGCCATGTACTCTCTGAACAGTAACCCTTACTAAAATAACCCAAAGATACTGCAACGCACTTATAATAGAAAGTAGAGCCACTTTTTGTAATGAAGGCAATATATTTAATAATCCTTCAACTTCAAACCCACCAAACCAAAACTGGATAGATATATATATATATCTATATATATAGTGAAATATACAGTAGAGAGAGAATCAGATTAAGAAGTAATCAATGAAGGACTCTAACTGAATGTAATCTTCTCCCTGCAGGCTGAGTAGCTGTTGATAAGAATCATCTTCAACCTCTTCAATCCTCTCTCCATTTTCAGAACAATTCCACGACCCTTCATAGAAAACTTCACACCCACCAAAAAGATCCCCACTTTCTTCCATTTCTTCCCTCCCTTTCAGCTTCTCAATCTCTCCTCCTCCATTCACAGCCAACCGATCAGTCTCGCCGCCACCTCCTTGATTTCCCGACAAAAAAGGTAGCCCGCTTGCCATGCCAGTGCTCGAGTTATCGCCGTTCGAAACTCGGGCAGGTTTTCTACTGTCGGATGTCTCTCCATTTGCAGAGTTTGTAGTGATGACCTTCTCCTTCTTTGCCTCTCCTGCATTGTCTTTGGTTATTGCCAACTTTTTGCTTAGATGGGAATTCCAGTAGTTTTTTATCTCATTATCGGTTCGGCCCGGAAGCCTACCGGCAATGAGAGACCACCTGTTGCCAAGTAAAGTGTGTAGTTTTATAATCAAGTCGTCCTCGTCGGGGGTTATGTTGCCGCGTTTAATGTCGGGTCGAAGATAGTTCATCCATCTCAATCTGCAACTCTTTCCACATCGAAGCAAACCTAAATTCATTCATAGAGAGCGTTTTAAGAAACAACTCCATGAATGGAGAAGAAAAGATTGAAGAACTCACCAGCTTTCTTTGGCAAGGCTCTCCAATGGCCTTCACCATGTTGTTGAATATAGCTGACAAGCAATGCATCTTCTCTAGCAGTCCATGGCCCTTTGTGTAAGCCTCCTTTGGAACAACATGATGATGTTCTTCCCATTTCTTAGAGAGTGAGAGCTGTGGAGCTACACAATATACTCTCTTTTTTATAGAGAAAGAATTGAAAAAGGAGAAGAACTCGAGCTGAGTTTGATCGGTGATCTAAAAATAGAAAGTTGAAAACAATGGTGCAACGAGAAATAGAGTTTCGTTTCGTTTCGTTTTTTTCAGTATTTTTGTATATGTTCGGGAATTGGATCTCAATTTATAATGTTATTATGAGTATCCTGTACCGTGATAGTTACTTACTAAATAGTTAATTAAACCTTAATCATATTTAATTTGGAGTTTATTTAAATTCAAATTACATCGTGTAATTTTAGTTTTTAAATTTTTAATTTTTTAAAATTTATTTTTTATACTTTTAGTAATAATATTAAGATAATTTTAATAATAATTTTCTTGTACAAAAAATACAATATCTAAATATATTTTCTTTCAAAATTTATAAAACAATAGTTTTTTTAAAAATAATTAATAATTAAGACTAAATTTAAGATTTATTAAAAATTCAAAAAAAAATAATAAAATAAAATAACATCTCAAATGTTAAATAATAATTGAGTGATTCATAGAAGTTATCCCCACTTTTAAAATTGTGAATATTTTGGTAATTTTTTAAAAAAAGAAAAAGTAATATATTCTTATATTTAGAAAAATTGCACATTTTTTCTCCTATTTCTTTTTCCACCAATACCAACATAAAAATTAAAGTTGGAAAATTAGAAGAGGTAAAATTATTTTACCACAAAAATTCAATTTTTATTAAATCAAGAATAAATGTCACAATTAATACCTCACCAAAACTAAATTTTAAAATCACAAAAATTTACCAAACAAACACCCAAAACCTAGCCCTAACCTTCACTAAATACATATTTAAAAATTTGTTCACCGAACTTGAGCATAACTCAGCTAGTTTAGGATACATACCATCGACTAAGAGGTTAGAGTTTCGAGTTTTTTAATGGTTTAGGATATATAAATTCTTAACTAAGAGGTCAGATATTCGAGTTTCTTAGTGGTTTAGGGCACATATCATTGACTAAAGGGCCAGTGGTTTGAATTTCTTAACCCTATCTTACGTGACGTTGAGCTTAAAAAGACAAAAAAAGAATTGGCAAGAACGAGCTATAGTTAGTATGAACGGGTGAAATTTAAGGGTATCCCTTGGATTGCAACCTACCCTACACAACAATAATGTGGTCATAACAATGGAAAGTGAATTGGAAATTGATTTGGAGAAGAGAAGGGGATGTGCATTATTTGTGTAGGGTATGTTGAAAGGCAAAGCTGAACCACCCACCCCTATGCTCTTGACAGCTGCCTGCATTACACTCTCAATTTAATGCCCATATGGCTCTCTCTATTCCCAAAAATGCTATCAAACCCTAAACCATATCAGATACTTTTCTATTTTCAGCACCTGATTTGATAGTAATTTTGTTATTTTCTCTCTAGAACTTTGGGGAGATTAAGCCATTTGAATCCGCTCTCTCGTGGACGAAAAATAGTTCAACTGATTGTGTAATAGCCTAAACCCAACACTAACAGATAGTGTCCACTTTAGTCCGTTACGTATCGCGTCAGCCTCACGGTTTTAAATCGCATCTATTAGGAAGAGGTTTCCACACTCTTATAAGGAATGTTTCGTTTCCCTCTTCAACCGATGTGGGATCTCACAATCCATCTCTCTTGAGGCCCAACGTCCTCACTGACACATCGACCGGTGTCTGGTTCTAATACCGCCAATAAATATTATCTTCTTTGGCTTTTCCCTTCTGAGCTTCCCTTCAAGATTTTGAAATGCGTCTAGTAGGAAGAGGTTTCCACACCCTTATAAGCAATGCTTTGTTTCCCTCTCCAACCGACATGGGATCTCATAATCCACCCGTCTTGAGGCTCAGTGTCTTCGTTGACAAACCAACCAGTGTTTGGCTCTAATACCATTTGTAACAGCTCAAGCCCACCGCTAGCAAATATTGTCCTCTTTGGACTTTTCCCATCTAGGCTTCTCCTCAAAGTTTTAAAACGAGTATACTAAGAAGAGATTTCCACACCCTTATAAGAAATGTTTCAATCCCCTCTCCAACCGAGGTGGGATCCGACCCTACATTGCTGCATACTCTAAGAGTTTGAACACCGTCCCATTTCAACTGTAAGGACAACACTACAAGAAAGGTTTGAGTATGAGTTCCAAGCAATATATAAATGTTATGAGCCCTTCCTGTTTCATTTGAGTATCACAGTCAATCAGAAAGCAAGCTGGTTGACTGATAAAATGAAGTTCTTAGACATATCCCAGAAGAAAGAACAGAACAGACCAGACCAGACCAGAACAGCAGCAGATCAATGTCATAATCAAAGCCAAGGACAATCAGTTTCCTTCATTGAATGGAAATATAAACTCACAGATATCCAAATTTAGCGACAGCAAGAGCCAAAAGCCCCACCAGATAGATGCCTCTATTATACACATGTAATGGAAGGACCATTGCCCCTTTTGAGTACCTAATACCTATTTTCTTCTTTCTATTTCCTGAAACCAGGCTCCCACAGCCTTCACAAATAAAAGAATCATGTAATCATATAATTAAACCTGTACTATACCGATAATATCGAAGACCTGCACGGGATGTTTAACTAAATCATAGAAACAAGATGGTTCAGTCAGGTCGGAACGATATATTGAGGGTGGTTCATGATTCGTGAACTCCCCTTAACTGGGCAGGCTACTACTGTTGACTAAGTGATTTCAAGAGAATTGAGTCATAACCGAATAGGCAAACCGTAGTTGAGAAATGTTCTGATTCGTCCGTCCCATCCAGCGGTTACGATCACGAGACCCCACATATGCGGAGAGCTAAGCATGCTCTGGCAAGCATTCTTCAAAAGCTTGAACTCAGTCTTGCACATTGAAGGGAAAGGGGTGGTTATTGAGCTAGAATCATGGAGTTTTTCCTCCGGCCAAGTTGCAGTTCCTTTGAGCAACTCGGGAAATAGCGTGCGACTCAGAGAGAAGCAATCCGGTGAAGATGATGGAACTTTGTGTTCTCTATCACCATTGTCATCGGGATACTTCGGCTCCATTTCGAGGATACTTCCTGCTGTGTTGCAAACTTGTGTCGGGGACAATGGCGGTTCGGGTGTGATTTTCACACCAGACCAAGGTATGGCTATTGCCGCGCTACGAGAGAAGAAACTTTCGGACGACCAAATTTTCTTTTTCCGAGATGCTTTGTCCTTACAATTATAGTTCCAAACATAAACATTTTCTTCACTGGCTGAAACAATATGCTTTCCATCAGATGTAAAAGAAGCAGACATCTTGTTTCCACCATTTCTAAGACCTAACAAGAGAAACAGGGGAAGAAAGTTAACGATTCTGTTTCGTTCTTCGTTGGCGTTAACCCGAAAGAGGAAACCATTGGCATACCCTTGAATTTGCAAATGACGCCGCCCTCAGAAATTATATGAACCGGTGAATCGACAGAACAAACCATTAGTTTGCTCGGGTCGCTAGGCGAAAACTGTAAAAACAAAATAGTATTAATACAAAAGCGAACGAAATCGATATGCTGGGAGGACTTTTGGAGGCCCACATAAATACCTCAAAGCCAATTATTCTGTTCCCGGGCGACTTCTTTTTCCCGTTTAAGCATATCTGAGCATCAAGCTCCAATCGATTATCTGAATCCATAAAATATTAAATAAACTCAACATCAATACTAACCGAAGAGGCTGATTGCAGTAGCACAAACTACTAGAGTGATCGATCAAATTAAAAGGTTACGGTTGTTATTGTAGCAAATCTCATAGTTCAGAGGGCGATTGATCAAATTAAGAGTTCGGGGGTGTGATTGTAACAAACCCTATAGTTTAGGGATGGTTTGTGCAATTTTTCCAAAAGTAAATCTGGCTCACAGTTTAACCTATCTGATTGTAACAGCCCAAGTCCACCACTAACAGATATTATCCTTTTTAGGGCTTCCCCTCAAGGTTCTAAAACGCGTCCATTATGGAGAGGTTTTCACACCCTTATAAGAAATGTTCCGTTCCCCTCTCCAACAAATGTGGGATCTCACAATCTACCTCC